TTACAAACCGTTTGGTAGATGACTCCAGTTCAGCATGCATTCTGCTAAAATTAACATCTTACAACCCTAACATAAGTTATTTGTCATCTAATCTGCAAAAACAGAAGTCACACTAATTTTACTTTAATTTAAATTACACGTATAATTTAAACATTGCAAAATGTTCCTATTTTCTTGTAGAATTTTGAGTTGATATTATTTATTATCATTATTTTCCCAATAATCACAGAGACAAAATTATTTGATGGCACGTCTATGACCTGATTAAACTTTTCTTTATAAAAATGGCACGACGGTACTTAAAGGTTCGCCATCCCTGTCCTAGATGCAACCGGTCATGTTTATGCCAGAGAAGATTGGAGTCAAGGAGTCTGCTTTACGGTCAAACCTTTTAATTTTTGTTTGTAAGGCATCGCTTCTACATACCTCTATTAAGTTCAACGCTAATAGACCTTGCAATCTGAGATCACGATGTCAGACAACATTTAAGAATCTACTTCGTTCGTGTTGCCTTCTCGTAATATATTACTAAGTGACAGTTTGAGAAATTGACAAATTCGAGTTAATTCTTGTGTACCTGCATATGTCAAGAAAACTAAAACATATCCGAGTTATAAAAAAATTCGTGTTATAGAAGTTCTAGAGTAATAGAAAATTTTAAATCTGTTTATTAATTCATTACGTATTAATTAAGTTTAAAACCATTAATAATTCTTATTAGACCTGTTGAATTTGTCAAGCTCGAAACGCAGCATAGTAAAAACTCAACATGAAGATAGGAAGCTATTAAATTACTGCAACATATGTACGCATATATTGTACAAAACATTCTACGAAAAACACTTAACAATGTTGTATAGGGCACAGTGTATGTACATGCAAGTATACTACATTAATTATAATTGGTACAAAACCTGTCTTGACCAGCTACAATTTACAGCATTACAGTCCATATACAGTACAGGCGAACTGAGAAACAAACATAGGGATATTTTATCACTTTGGTCACGACGTCTAGTGGTTAAAGCTCTAACTAGGATAAGGATGCATTATATACTGTTACCGTGTCAGATTCATTTGCATGAAATTAAATAAAAACAAACAACTATTATCGAATTGCATCTGTGCTATTAGAGGCTGTTGTAGATAAATCAAATAAAAACTTAGATCTTTCTTTCATATCTATCCAAACTCTGGTAGCAGTGTTGTGCAAATCACAAATATATTTATATATANTCACACATTTAAGTGTCTCAATAAATAGTAATCAAATCAATCTGAAATCATCCAAGTTAGGTGAGACAGTTTTTCAATCAAATTATTAATTTAAATTAAAATCACATTCCAATTATGTAAGACTATATAAATGACGTAAGTGTTGTCAATTTCTGAAATTTATTTTGTGATTATATCTAAAGAATCTTTCTTGATCAAAGTCGTTCCTTAAAATCTTGGGTAATTGATCAAACAACATAATAAAAAAAAATTAAGGCTAAATGGATCTTATGTAAAGTACTAATGGAATTAGTAAATTAAACACAAATTTATTGAAGATTCGGTATCTATTTTAAACGGAGAAGCAATAAAAGGTGGAAAATTTTTCGTTCAATTTTCTTTGCTTTCCTAATCTTCTAACAACACAGACGAACGCCTGTGGTTGGTTTAACTAAGCTTAAATTCTTTTAATAAAAAAAGGGCAGGTTCCCGCGTGATTTCGTGTTTAAATTTAATGGTCCATTGCATCGGTACGTGGAAGATAAAAAGAAGGAAAATAAACAAAAGGATAACGGAAGACAAAAAATACATTTTCACGTCGGCGACTTTCGCAAGAAGGACCTTCACCCTTGAAGTAATTGGTGTGCATAGTGTCCTTTCCTTTAAATTAAGGAATCGACATATATATATATACATATATTAATCTACATACAAAAAAAATGTGACGTGATACGGTAAAACAAAGTTTATATTTGCAAATTATAGACCAAAATTTACATGCTTAAGATAAATTTATACAAAAAACTTTTTTATCGCAGACCTGTGTAATTTAATGTCGCTATCTTGTTTTACACTATTTATAACTCAAGAACGGCTGAACCGATTTGGCTGATAAATAATTGGTGGGGAGGTAGAAACACGAGACGGACATAGGATACTTTTATTTTATCCCGTTCCCGTAGAATGTGACATAAAGCGTGATATAAGAAAATGCAACTGACATGGAATAGCAAAACGCAACTGAGAGCAAAACGAAAAATTTATCAGTCAAAACATCAGTCTAGCCGTTCAGTTCATTTGTTAAAAATAATATAACAAAAATTCAATCTCTGTTGGGGGGGAGGAGTGGTGAAGAGGAGTTGCAATGTTTAAATGGAACATATATTATTTGTGGTCAAAATTTACTTGAAACTTGGTCTTAATGGTTTCTCATTTAATTTCTGAAGGACCTATTTCGACATATTAAAAAATTCAACTTGCAAAGAGGGGGGGGATTTTTGTTCGGGACATACTTTATTTGTGGTTGAATTTACTTGAAACATCGTATATATACTGTTTGATATTCATCAAATGAAAAGAGGTTGCAACGTTTCCATGGGGTATATTTTCTTTGTACTCGGATTTACTCGAAGGTTACTTATTGTTGAAATTAATCAAATATGTGTTTTGGCAATTTTTAAAAATCAACCCTTAAGGATGAAATGTTGTTGTTACGTTTGTTTGTATTAGAAATCTAAGATGACGACATTACATAAAATTAAAACGTTGTAAGGGTGAATTGGGAGTTAAACGGTTTTATGGAGAAACAATATTAATTTCTGCGAGCGAAGCCGAGGGGAAAAGCTTGTATTTAAATAAAAACAAAAACAAAAAAAACTCACCATTGTCGTTCGTTAGCACCTTTGGCAATGCAGCGATCAAAACGAAAAGCACTACGGAAAACCCGAACCGCATCTTAGGTAAAACGCAATCGTTCTACGGCTACCGGTCAAGAGTCATATTATTTAGTATTGTCCCGCGATAAATTCACGAACACACCGAAATTTCGACACGCACCGCACAGTTCATCATCAAATCACGAACGAAAACCGCACTTTCAATGTAAACAATCTTTCAAGGGACGAAAACGCGCATTAAGTAAGTACACTACTGCTATTGCTATTACTACTGCAACTGCCACACTGCGCAATCTTGCATTTTATTTTCAGTCGCTTCATTTGTTCGAAACTGTGAAAAGTCAAGTGGGTACGTGAATTATAATAATCGATCGCTGAATGCCGCGCGTCTACTCGCGGCCAGATTTGATCTTCTTCTGTTTCGTTCCCGAAGACCTGGCCGACCGTCGTTGTTTGATAAGATCGCAGTTCGTGATGTGTGTTTCCGATTAGAAGGGAGAAACGACGACGTTTCGGCAATGTCGGCGCGAACTGGTGCTGTTGTTGCTTGTGATGGTGATGATGGTGGTTCCGTGCGTGGTCAGGCCCACGATCTGTAACAAAAACAGTGCGGAATTAGTAATGAGAGTTACAGGGAGAGTATGTGTGTGTGTGTGTGTGTGTGTGTATTTCTTTGTTGTTTTGGCAGGTGACATGGTGCACACGTATCAGATAGACATCGGAATCCAAAAGCTCAAATGTCCATCGAATTTGATCGCGTGGTGCATCAGAAACAAAAACTAAACTAGTAGACGTTCATTTATTCTTTCGTTTCTTTAATTGTTGTTTCTGGGCAATGGATTAAAAGCGACTAGAAAATCAGGAAATATCTCCCCTCATTAAAGGTACACTCCAGTGGAAATGTCGCAGTCACGAAATGTAATAGAGGACACAAAAGAGTAAAACAATGAGAATATATGTATTTCATATTACTATCGAATAAAATAATTCGAAGTGGTCTCTATTCTGTCCAAACTGCCAGACGCGGATCGCGCTTTCGATCTTTTTGAATCTCATCAGCGCGTCGCAGGCAGCTCTGACAGAACCCAGACCAACTTTTACCTGCTGCCTTAACAGCGCGTTTTAGAAAATACAACAAACGGCGCGGTAAATGCCATCTACAGTATGATGCTACATTTTAGGATTACGTATGCTCCAACAAGGTCCATTTAAATATATGGATATCTACTTGTTGAAACGAATTCCGGCGTAAGGTTACGTAATCCTAAAATGTAGCATCGTACTACAGATGGCGTTTACCGCGTCATTTGTGGTATTTTCTAAAACGCGCTGTTAAGGCAGCAGGTAAAAGTTGGTCTGTGTTCTGTCGGAGTTGTCTGCGACGCGCTGATGAGATCCAAAAAGATCGAAATCGCGATCCGCGTCTGGCAGTTTCGACAGAATACAGACCACTTCGAATTATTTTACTCGATTATGGTAACGTGCCTAATACGTTGAGGTTAGCTACGCCGGGATTCGTTTCAGCAAGTTGATATCAATATATTTAAATCGACCTTGTTGGAGCATACGTAATCCTAAAAGGTAGCATCAAACTACAGATGCCGTTTACCGCGCCATTTGTGGTATTTTCTTCATATTACTATATTTTTCTTGTTGGATTCAATTACCAGATTTTATAATATGTACTTTTGAACCAACGAAACGTGGCCCCTTCGATTGTAATACCTACAAATGCGCATTGAGCGACGGCTATTCTGTGTTAAGATAAATCATTTAAGTTCAGCTCCTCTTCGAGCTAAGAACTCAACACACACCAACTGGCCCGGCTGTAATTTTCGCAATCAATATAGTGGACGACAGAATAGACAGAATAAAAGTTGGAGTTGGAGTATATCTAACTGTCAGATAAAGTTTAGTCGTACATATTGTTCAACTGAATAACTATATCTTGTAATCCTGTAATAATGATTTTATTGTCAGTGTGCTTTTAACTATGCCTAGTTTAATAAGAATTTTCCATACTTGCAAATTTAATAATATTAAGAAAGAAATACAGTGCACTATTGCTAACGCTAATGTTAAGAACCCAAAGAAAATTAAAAATTTGAAGGCATGAAAGTCTACTGAGGGACATATTAGAGGCAGAAACAGGAGTTAGGAGGAGTAGCGGTAGACCTAGATTAGATTACTGTTCGCAAATAGTTAAGGATGTGGGCTGTTCTGGTTTTAGGGAAATGCGAAGTTTAACTCAGAATAGGAAAGAGTGGAGGTGCGTGTCCAACCAGTCTTAGGATTGACGATGATGATGATGATGATTATTATTTACTTCTTTAAGTACTTTGTACTATTCTGTTGACTAAAACCAAGTTATGCGTTGGAAGAAGGGTCAATTTATGCATAATTGGAAGGAATCTTCATAACTCTCACAACTATCGACAGTACTTTCTTTAAGCTCATGACAAGTTCGCATGCATGACAGAGAATTTCAGCTTTACGACCACTAAAAGTCTGGGGTCATCTCTCCATGATTCAGCTGTACTATGGAGGGTAGAGGTAAGGAGTACTTAAAATTAAAATAAATTGGGGTGGTGCCACAGTAGCAACAGGGTAAATTTCACATAAAGCGCCAAATGTTATTAGAATAGGGTTTACGGACGGCTGGGTGTCTTTTGAAGATTTCCCCTATTCCACGAAAACAAAAAAAAAAAAATTAGAATAGGATAGAAAAGGACAAAATTACTTTAAACTACATAAATAGTTGAGGTTTAGTATACTCGACTGTCACCAACTATTCTAGTCACTAAAAATATTAAATTTTCTAACTTTAATCCGTCAACAACTGCTACAGGTCTGACGAAGGAAGCTGACGAGCGGTCGCGCAGGTAGTTGTCTATTTATGACCTATTTGGGTAAGTCACTTGGAACCGATACACAAATAAGCTTTCAGTAGGCGTAAATTATAGTATTAATACAGATAGGACAGTAGCGTACTAGAAAATAATGTAAAAATATCTTATCAAAAAGAGAAAATTAACCTATTGCTTTTGTTTTATAGTTAGTTTTCACATTCACTGTCATCATGGGAATCTCTATCACTGTCACCAACATCAACAATTAGTTCTTCTGTTTGTCTGTCTATTACTTGCTCACTGATCCCTATTTTTAAATATTTAATCTACGCCCCTGATAGGAATACTGAAGAATGAGGGCTGCAATCTTTATACCTAAAAGTGCCTACTTTTGCCATCGCGCATCCACGCCATTTTAAAATTTCCGCCAGCTTCCAGCGTCAGGCCTGTACATTCATATCGTACCTTTTGCCTACGCTAGCGCAATTTTGGAGGGTTTTTGAACTTTTGTTTACTGCTTATAGCTGGATACTTTTTTCAACATTCCCCCATATGAGATAATTTTCCTTACCTCTACCCTCCATAAGCTGTATTTCGTTTATTTTTATTAATTATTAAATTAATATTGCCACTAGTTTTTGTAAATCTTCATTTCAATTCGATTCAACAGCTGATAGTTGATTTAGGAATTATAGCGTTGCAGAAATGAATAACCATTTCGTAAAATAGGTATTTACTTATCAAGAAGGGAGAATAAAAACAACTTCTTTTAAAGTTCGTTCTGGTCTGGTGTGGGTTATACTTATAGAGGAGATAGAACATTGTGGTAGTTGCTCCGCTTTCTGAGATAATGAATTCTGCTGGTAGAATTGGATCAAGCCTCCTGCGTTTGTCGTATTCCACGACTTTGTTTACTTGGAAAGTGCTTTAATTATTAAAAGCTTTCTTGTTCTACTTGCGCCTTAATTACATCTAGATTCATTTTTTTTTTTGGTGAGTTGGAATATAAAAAGCTTCTACTCCATCATAATACGTTATTCTTATTTCACTTTTTCTTTTGCTTTTTTGTTTAAACTTCTTTCAATAAACGCTTTTTACGAATTACATCTTGATGTCGTTAATAGTTTTCTTTTTATTAAGGGCGCGATGGAAAAAAACTGCAATTTCAAAAGGGTAACAATAAAAATAATTGCATCCATGAAAAGACAAGTCATTCGAAACAAAAACACTTCAAAAATATGTGAGTAGGTATACATTTAAAAAAAATGGACAGACAGACACACGAGTGATTCTATAAGGGTTCCGATTTTTATTCCGACATACCTTAGAACCAGCTTAACATTTAAACTGCAAATGTAACTTCGTAAGCACAATATTGTTTTGTTAAAAGATTTACGTTGTTATTATTTTTCCTTTAATTTAAAAATAAAGAATTATTTTCTATAAATTTTTTCAATA